ACACACACACACATATATACGCACGCACGCACGCACGCACGCACGCACGCACGCACGCACGCACGCACGCACGCACGCACGCACGCACGCACGCACATACACACACACACAGGGAAGCCTACAGCAGTGTAGTAAATGCAGGTTCTATACGTCACGGAAAATCGGCGCATTTTCCTGCGTAGAACACAGTTGAACGCCTATTTACCTAGCAGCCTATATTACAGTAACCTAGCTACTACATAGATAAATTTAACGTAACCCTTATAAACGTAGCATTAGTTGCCTTGATTATAACCAGACATATAATTAAAATAACGATGAAATACCAGACAAGTTGAAAAACTCGGATTTTTATTGGCGTCTAAATTGTATTTCTTCTAGTTCTAAGCTCCAGGTTTCTAGTTCAGGTTTATATTCTGTTACACATCTGTTCTTTTTAGCGCATCGACAAGGACGGGGAATAAAGCTAGATATATACTGGCCCACACTCTACTATCTTCCTTTGTTAGCTGGGCTTTAAATGTGTGTGTGTGGGGGGATAGACTGTTTCCGCTTTATTGTACTCCACAGATGTTTGTTTCGTTGACGATGTCATGCCTATGTAGTCTCTCTGATGGCGTATATACTGAGTGATTTACGCTGTATGTGGAGGTAGTGCGATATCTTCATATATATAAATGAGCCATCAGTCGCTCGTTGCATGTTCCTGCATGCATGTCGTAATCAAATTATACATTGATAGCTACAGGAGTTAATAAAGACATATAATATAAATATAATATAATATAAAGACATATAATAAAGACAATAAATTTGTCTATAATACGCGGGCACGTCCGATTTCACGATCATATATCGTATGAATATTATTTACCTTATTTATGTACCTTATATTTACATTTTATTATTTTATCATATGAAATATCTGTTTCGTCACGAGTATTACATCTAAGCAGGGGCTAATAATGACAAATTGTCATTATTTGTAAATTTTTCAATTTGTCAAATTGACAATTTGTCATTAGTAACCCCTGATCTATGTAAAAGCTAATAATACAGTCATGTACTATAGCTACGTATCATAGTATAATATTTTTTTTTTTTTTTGATCTAACGTTTGTGGTTTTAACGTTTGCCTCCCCCACCCACTCCACGCCTTACCTAGCTCTATAACTATAGCCCTGCATGTGGCAGAGCGAAGGACTATAGTTCTAGAGCTACGCCTTATCATACCTTTTTTTTAAATCGGTATCGGGTCTACTTTTGCCATTTACCTGCGCAGTCAGGTGAAAGTCGAGTTAAGTTCCTTGTAGTATAAGTGCAACAGGAACTGAGAGGTTACCTATGTTAGATAATAGCTGCGTATATCACCGCCGCCTTCTCACAATCGCTGGTGTTAACGCCTGCTAAGTACACACACCGCGCACACACACACACACACACAGCACACACACACACACACACATCACAGGCACACACATACACACACACATCACCACACCACACACACACAACACACACACACACACACACACACACACACACAGAACACAACACCACGCACACACAACAGACACACACACACACGATTCACTTTACTCTCTCTCGCGCTCCTCTTTTTTTCTTTTTTGCATATTCCTCATCCTCTCTCCCCTCTCTCGCTCTCTCTCTCTCTCACTCACTCTCTCTCTCGTCCTCTCGCCTCTCTCTCTGCTCTCTCTCTCTCTCCCTCTCTCTCTCTCTCTGTATTGTGTGTGTGTGTCTCTCTCTCTTTTCGCGATTCCCTCTTTTCCTTCTCGCTGTCTCTCTCTTCGCCGCCGCTCTGGTCTGCTGTCTCTCTGTGTGCTCTGTCTCTCCTCTGCCTCGGTCTCTTCGTCTGCTCACTACTCTCCTCTCTCTCTCTCTCTCTCTCTGTCTCTCTCTCCCTCTCTCTCTCTGCTCTGCTCTCATGTCTCTCTCTCTCTCAGCGCTCTCTGCTCTTCTCGCCGCCGTCTCACTCCTCACTCATAATTCTCGGCTCTTCGTTGGATCGTCAACATAGTCCCTTTCTCTCGCGCTTTCATCACGACTTCTCCTCTCCGCACATCCTTGTCTCAGACTCTTCGCTTCTCTCCTCGTCGCTCTCTCTCTCTCTCTCTCATCTCCGCCCTTTCTCTCTCTCTCTCTCTGCTCTCTGTCTCTCATCTCTCCTCTCAGTTTTCTCTCTCAGAAATTCATCCGGCCATGGTGGGGTTCTCTCTCTCTCTCTTTCCTCCTCTCTCATCATCTCTCTCTTTCTATCTCTCTCATCTCTCGGTCTCGATCTGCTCTCTCTCTCATCTCTCTACCATCTCTCGCTCGCTCGTCCAGAAGTCTCATCTCTCCGCGTCTCTCTCTCCCTTTCCTTCTCTCCCTCTCTCTATCCTGCTCTCTCGTCTCTCGCTCTCACTCTCTCTCGTCGTCTCTCTCTCTCATTCTCTCTCTTTCACGCGCGTGTCAGGGACATGACCTCATGACGTCAATCACGTCATGACCATAATTCTAACGCCATCTCTAATTATAACGTTAATTCCACACCTAACCCACACAGTATAGAGCTAATTATATCGTGCAATCAAATAATTAAGCGTAAATTCTGAGACACCCTATCCCACACAGTATAAAGCTCATTATACCAAGCAAATATAACGTTAATTCCACACCTATCCCACACAGGATAGAGCTAATTATACCAATCAAATATAACGTTAATTCTAACTCCAAACTAAAGCGTACGTGACCACTGTCCGTTAATTCTCCATCTCATAGCTCCATATAAAGCTGATGCCAAAACGTATCCACATCGGTTTAACAACAAACGTTCAACAAGAATTCCACAAAGGTAAACGGTAATGTTTAACCCTGGCGTTAACCTTGACGTTAACCTTGCACCATCGTTGACGTTTAATTCTACGTCTCTCCCTAG